TGATGAGGCCAGCCAATGATCATCTTCACATACGTGGAAGATCTCGAAAGCTGTCTGCGGAAGGAGTTGATACCCGCTTTTATTCCTCGGGCCCGAACTGTTAATGAGGATTGTTCCCTCTCTCTCTACTTTGACGAATGCGAGGTGGTCGGCGGGGTTTGACCTTCGACAGTGAGTGAAGAGAAGTCGCAGGGAAGAACGTGGTCGCTGGATGTGAGTCGTCGAGCCGTACACAAATCGGAGGGGACAACCTCATTGGGGTTAAGACCTGGTTGTCTTGAGAAGAAGAGCTGGTTTGATGCCACGTCCCAGCGAACACTCTTTATTCGTCAATTCCCTTGCAACTCAGGGTGAATTCTCTACCCAGACGTTCAGATCCCCTGGATGGATCTGATTCCGGAGAGTGAGGTTGCGTGGACCCGAATGGTTGACTTTGTTCTGAATAGACTTAAGCGACTCGCTCCACTCAATCGGGTCTCACAGTTCGGTGTTAGGCTACACGACGCGGGGTTGTTGCAGGTCTTCATAATTTCTTCGCTATGATTGCGATGAAATATAACCCTGACAGCTGCCACATTTCTTGTCGCCTGCATGCCGAAGTTAGGTTTTGCTCTTCATGAGATGCCAGGCAACAAACGAGTTGAATATTTATATAATCTAAGTCAGGGTAAACAGCTAAAAAAAGTTAGATTTAAAGGATTATTTTTATAAATCTAACTGGCGTTAACCAGGGCGACCTAATAGTATATATTGTGATGATTTGAGCGGATGTGATTACAAATCCACGACCTGTGAGTGAGTAATTTTGAAATATGAAGATTTGAGTGTACTATTGAATATAATCCCACATCGATTCACTCTTAAACTTAACGGATTTCTAAGGAGGAAACATTTAGTAATATTAGTTAGATTGAGGGTTGCAATAGTGTTATGGGGATATTCCATGTTCTCTACACGTTACATCATTCCTTGAAAACAGTTGTTCCTTTCTGTTCGGGTCGATAGCCTTCCTTAAAGGACGACTCGAACGAACGTACTCAGCTGGATACCCTATCCAATATCGAAGGATCACCAAACTCAGCCCTGGTCGGCTGACGAGTCCCCCATGCTACTGAAGTGACCATCGTCGCCCGTTCTCAACAAAAATAAAAGAAAAAAAAAAAAAAAAAAAAAAAAAAAAAAAAAAAAAAAAAAAAAAAAAAAAAAAAAAAACTCAGTCCTGCGTTGCTCTTGCGAGTTCCCCATGCCACTGAAGTGACCATTACGCACCCACCAAGCTTATTCCTGGTCGGACTGCGATTCCCATGCACTAAAGTGACCATTCCTCGCCCCACAACTCAGCCTTGTCAAACTGGAGAGTTCCCCATGCCACGGAACGGACGGCTCGACAATCGCCAGTTAACATTGTTACATAAGCAAGGATTGAGATCAACTCCAGCTCACTCAGCCGCGCCGTCACGTACCACACCCTCCCTAAAGTGACGAATCGCCTTTAGCTTCCTTTATAAGATACAGCGTATTATTTGTCCTATGAGAGGTTCGGTTTTTTTGGCTTAAACATCTAAAGCTCCTATGATAATCGCAGAAAAAACTATTCTAAATACGCCATAAAAAGAGTAAATTCACTGACTTGATCATGTCGGAGCGTACACGGAGGAAACAAATTAACCCCGCCCTCTTACGTTCGCAATGTGTGCAGGTTATTCGGTCCGTCCAGATGCCTGCTAGAACTAGCATTAAAGTCGAAGCGAGGAAGCGGCCCCGTATTGAAAGTGGATTTGGATCACTAATCTGAAACGAAAGAGCCAAAAATTCAAGATGGTAGACGAGTGTTGAAGTTAAAAGGATTTTTTAACTTCTGACTTTTACCCAGTTCAATTTTCAGTTCAAGTAATACTTATTAGAATAATTATTTGTCTATTTACTATAATATATTTTTCTAGAATTTATTTTGTATTATGTTCTTGGACTAATTTTAGTACTATAATATCTGTTATAAATATTTTTTTTGGTCAAAAATGTTAGTTTTCAATCATTAGCCAAATAATAGATTATTTAGTATCGTGTAATAACTAGTTTAGAAACACTCTAAATAATACTAATTAGATTAATTTATTATTTAATAATATAATCACTAAATACATTAGTATAAATTCGTTATTTATGTGATATTATTAAAATAATTAATCTATTTATGTAGATTCAAAATTTATTATATAATAATATTTAATTGCTTATAAAATTAGAGATATTAATTCTTAATTATATTTACTAATATATTTATTCTATTTCTATGACTATCAACTTTTAACTAATTGGCTTAATTTGGTTACCATAATAATTGTGTATATTATTTTCATAAATTATTTATCTTTTATTAGTTGGTTAACATAATTAATAATAAATTATGATAATCATAATTGTTTAGGAGAGTGAGAAGTAGATTAAAGGTTACTATAATTCGTGATGATATTGAGGGATGTAATTATCAAAATTCCAAGTCTTGAGCTGAGTAATTTTGAAATTATTGAAGACTTTGAGTGACCGATCTTGGAATATTGAAGATTTGAGGGTTAATTTATTGAAATAAAATCAATATTCAATCTGTAACTCAAGATCTAAGACGAAAATTGTAATAATTTGCCAAGATTTGAGGGTGGCAATTCAGTAATTATATGAGATTTTGGGTTACCAAAATGAAATTATTAAATCTTACAAGGGGTACAAACGGAAATCGATCAACTTGATACAACCCACCAACTGTTGTCTTCAGTCACTCTCTCGGCGATCTCCTCCGCTTCTTCCTAAACCCCTACCACCCTGTTCGGGCAGCCGTGCCCTCCACTTCCCGCTTGTAGAACCCAATTGCCTGGGGGGCTTTTTCTCAGTGCGCGGTCTCGGTCCGCAGCCATGAGGAGGGTGTCCGCGATGGAATTGCCACCCACCGCCACTAGCCCGCTGAGGGACCAGGCACCGCGCGCCGCTTACTTGCCGTACGGCTTAGCCTCGAGGCCCGACGCGCAATCGGTCCCGACCCGAACACCAACAGCTGTCTTCAATACTTGTACGTCCCGGTACGCCCCAGTTGCGGCCCAGACCCTCTTCCCGCCTGGCGGCCACCTGCGCGTCTTCCCTAGCCTGCATCCCTCCCTCGTCCCGCCGGGACGCACCTCCCTCCCTCGTCCCCTCCCCCCTCGACACCCTAGAGCCCCCCTCGTGCCGCCGACCCGCCCTCCCCCGCCTCGGCAGGACTCACTTGCCTACCTTCGGTGTGCATACCCGTTAAATTGAATATCAGATCAAGGTATTTTTTTCTAAGTATAATCATTCTGTGTGTTTTCCAAAATTGAATTTCACTTGGATTGACAAACAAACCAGCAGATTATTATATGTTAATTTTCCTGTTTGCTCATTAGAAATAATGTTCTCACAATTACGCCCAAATGGCTATCATGCATTACAGGCTCTTGCCAACTACAATTATATAATCCTTCTTTGAACATTCGTATTGGGGAGTACGGAGGGTGAGCATGAAATTAAACATACATTATTGTTGAATTCTCTTCGCATGTCTTGCAAGCCAGTGCACCAAGATTTGACATTGGATGCTGCACAGAAAAGTTTCGTTGGCGACTAGAATGGCAATTAGTGGATTTGATTAGACAATAAGCTTGACACAGCATGCCAAATAATGATCCTTAAAAACGTTTCAATTGTTTACCACAACTTTTGTTTTATCTGGCACTTCTTCTAGCTTGGAACGAGGAGAACAATATTGCCGTGCGCGGGGCCGCCGCGCATTTACGCTATCTTATAACCCAGACTGATTAGTTTTTAGTTTTATGTGCTCCGAGATTTCTACTGCTTATTTTTTCAAAAGTGATGCATCATGACTATCATAATGCTTCGGCATTGCTGCCAAGCTTATTGGTGCCAGCTAAAAACATTAGCTAGTCCTTGACCTGATTGGTTCCTTTAGCTGATTTTTGTGTAAATCTAAAAACTGATAAACGTTTAGCTTTTCTTTTCTAATGTGAGCAACATTAGTTTTCAGTTTGGTTGGTTCACGTATTGCAGTTTGTTTTGTTCCCCACGGTACTTAGAAGGAACTTTCTGAACTTATAGGTTTCCTTACAAACTTATTGACTTTTTGTTGTGATATCAGTAACTCATTCCATGCTATCACTCTTTAGGATTTTATATATTTTTATAAAAAGAAATTAGTAGTGTGATATATAACACAATAATGTTTTATATTAATTTTAGGGTGATACTAAGTTAACGTTACGCGTACGATCGCCGGTCCAATAATTACTACCAATTATTTAGACTTATAATATAAATGGACGATTCCACCTATGGGTATAAAATTTTTATTTAGGTGCCGAAAATGCACTCGCTTAATTTATATTAAAGAAAAAGAATGTGGCAGTGAACTATTGGATCTGTCCAGGTTTCGGACGCGTGTTAGAATATATTAGTGCATACATTCTAACTTGGCCTTATCTTTGTGCATTTTCATTTCTAAGAAAATCTCGGTCACACGGTACTTGTTGTTCCTCTGGGTATAATAAGCGTATGTTATTATGCTGTATCGGTATTATTTTCCCGGATTGTCCGGTTTTACTTCACCGATACGATAAATAACATCCGCACAGTGTACTTGCGAGAACAGCGGGTTTAGGTGCTGCCGAAAATTTTCATAGAAATGAAAATGCACAAAGGTATTCAGGATTCAAAGTTAGATATAAGCACTACTATATTCTTAATGGGATAGAAGCCTTCCTATGACAGCCGAGAGTGTTGTTTCAAATTAGGATTACTTATCATTGAGTGTTAGCTTTTACTTGGTATGACAATGAAAATTATAGAATAGTAATTTAATTTGATTGATTATTTGTTCAAATGAACTAAAATAAAGACTATTAAACTTAAGGCGACCTATGAAATATTGAATTAATTAATTAGTTTACCTATTATACAGATGAGAGAAGTTCCTGATAAGTCATGGATTGATATTCCTATATTTCAAAGAAGAGCGAAAGGTGATACTCGATATCGAGACGGATGGGAAACATTCCTTGAGTATGCATATGCTAATCCGAGGAAGGTAGAGAATGATTTGTTGTGTTGTCCATGTAGTAAGTGCAGGAATAGGGGTCTGGTGGATAGAGTTGCTATACGAAGACACTTAGAAAGATGGGGATTTGATGAAAATTATAAATATTGGAGTTTTCACGGAGAACGTGAAGATATTGAACTAGATGATACTAATATAGAAGATACGCAAGCAATGTTCAACGATATTCCAGCAGTTGCAGAAGTCAATGAAGTTCAAGAAGTACCGGAGGCTGTTGAAGTTCCTGGAGATGCAGATGATGTCCAAAATACCGAAGATGTGCGTGACACCCGGGCCTTCAAAGACTTAATGAAGTTATTGGATGACGACGATAAGGATCTGTATGATGGTTGCACTGAGTATAGTAAATTGTCATTTATTCTTCAACTGATGCGTATTAAGACCCTGAGCGGAATGGCAGATAAATATTTTCAAATGCTTCTTAATTTACTACGCAAGGTAATTCCAGACGGAGAGAATAGCATTCCAGAAAAGTGTTATGATGCAAATAAGATTATTGGTGCTTTGGGTTTAGATTACAATAAGATCGATGCTTGTCCTAATGATTGTGTCCTTTATTATAAGGATAACGAGAAACTTGAGGAATGTCCAAAGTGTGGAGTGTCTCGATGGAGAAAGAATACACGCACTTCAACCAGAAAGTCGAACGAGTCAGTGAATCAACAGAAAAAAATTCCAGCGAAGGTGCTCCGACATTTTCCCTTAGTGCCTCGGTTGCAACGGTTGTATATGATAAAAAAGGTAGCTAAAGAAATGTGGTGGCATAAAGAAAGACGTGTAGATGATGGTAAACTAAGACATCCAGCAGATGCAAAGGCATGGAAGCATGTAGATCAAATTTTCCCCTCATTTTCTGCAGAGTGTAGGAATGTCAGACTTGGTCTTTCTAGCGACGGATTCAACCCGTTTGGCATTATGAGTTCGGGATGGTCTACTTGGCCAGTTGTGTTAATGCCTTATAATTTGGCACCTGGTCTTTGTATGAAGCAATCATATATGATTCTTTCATTATTGATACCAGGCAAACATTCACCCGGTAATGACATAGATGTGTTCATGGAGCCGTTAATTGATGAGTTAAAACAACTATGGGGTGAAGGGGTCCCAACATATGATGCTCTTTCTTGTGAGTCTTTAAATCTTCGTGCTATTCTTATGTGGACGATTAATGATTTTCCAGCTTATGGTAATCTATCTGGTTGGTCTACGAAAGGGACATTCGCTTGTCCTGTATGTGGTCCGAACTTCGAAGGCTTTTATTTGCAACACAGCCGAAAAATGTGTTATTGGTTTAACAGAAGATGGTTACGAAAAGGGCATAAATTTAGGGGGAAAAAATGGGCAAATAAGTTTGATGGCCAAGAAGAGAAAAGAGGGGAGCCTCGTGAAATGTCTGGAGATGAGATTGTAAACTTGTTTGAGGGATATCCTAAATTCAATTTTGGAAAGAGCCGATTTACAAAAGATGAAATTCTTGCTCCGAGACACACTTCCATCATGAAGAGGGCACCCAAACGAAAGAGGCAAGTGCGGGGTTTAGATGTCACACATGCTCAGGATTTGCCGACAGGATGGACAAAATTTAGTATATTCTTTCAGTTGCCTTACTGGCATAAACTCAAACTCCGACATAATTTAGATGTAATGCATATTGAAAAGAATATATGTGATAACTTATTATCCACACTCCTTCAAGATGGTAAGAAATCAAAGGACGATTTAAGGGCTCGGCAAGATTTGAATGCATTGAACATCCGACATGATCTGCAAGCACAAGAAGTAGCCAATGGAAAATTTGATTTGCCTTCAGCTCGTATTACAATGTCAAAAGCTGAGATGCAGAGATTCTGTGAGGTTCTTAAGTTGGTGAAGTCACCAGATGGTTATTGCTCTAATATTTCAAATAATGTACAGGTGAAAGAGCGAAAACTTTTAGGACTTAAGACACATGATTATCATATTCTTCTTCACCAATTGCTTCCGGTAGCACTTCGTAACAACATGGCCGATGAAGAAGTAACAAAAGTTATAATTGAATTCTGTGGATTTTTTAAAAAGTTATGCTCCAAAGTGATCAATATTGATGAATTTAAGGCACTAAAAGCAGAAATGAATGAAACCCTCTGCAAAATGGAGATATTCTTCCCTCCATCATTTTTTACGATCATGGTCCATCTCACACATCATCTTGTAGATGAGGCATTACTCGGAGGACCAGTTAACTATCGTTGGATGTATCCCATAGAGAGGTTAGTTAAAATTCAATTAAGTCTATTTACATAACATGTCATTGCTTTAAATTAACAACTCATATTAATGTTATTTTTAGATATTTGGGTTTCTTGAAACGCATAATGCGAAATCGGGCTCATCCTGAAGGTTCGATTGCTGATCATTACGTGGCAAATGAATGTATGATGTTTACCTCTCGGTGTATACAAGGTGTACATACAACAAATAATTCTCTAAATAGTAATAGAGATGGCACCTTTCATGGAAGTACCAAGATGAACAAAGACTATTCCAGAATAGACTTGAATCAGGCTCATGCCTTCTTATTGCAGAACCTAGAAATTTTTGAAGATTACCGCAAGTAAGAAATTAACTTTATTAAATATGATTTTTTTGAATTATTTCAATAGTTGAACTCTAATTTTTGTATCAATAGACGACATGTGGAGGAGTTGCATTTAGAAATAACTGGCGCGTCAGCACGAAATCAAATTGCAAAAATTCATGAAAAACATTTTGCCGAGTGGGTCATAGCTGAAGTAAGTTAAGTGGATTTTATTTTTAATTAATTTTGGGAATAAATAAGGCTAACTATTTAACGCTAATTTGTGTTTATATGCAACATTAGGTAGAAAGACAAAGATTTGCAGGTTTGCCAGTGCCAGAAGAGATAAGTATTCACTCACATGGACCGCACTATACAGTTAAACAATGCAGCGGATACCGTGTAAATGGATGTTTATTCCAACGGGTCGGGCTTGAGGGGGAGAGAGTTACCCAAAATAGTGGGGTCATGGCTGTATTCTCTCAAGAATGTTATTCAAGCTCAACTGATCAAAATCCGGTACTTGGTGATGTAGTTTATTACGGACAATTAGAAGATATTGTGGAGATATTCTATGCGTACGGTACCAAAAATGTACGTAGTTATGTGATGTTTAAGGTCCGTTGGTGTCGTGCAGACAGAACTAGGGATGCATATGGTTTTCATCTTGTAAATTTAGATAAGGAGATATATCCCGACATGAAGTTTATGTTCGCAAATCAGGCTACTCAGTGCTTTTACGTCAAAGATCCTAAGGTGCAGAATGTCTGGGTCATATTGTATAAGGAGCCGAGGACTCTTGTTCAGCTTGCTCTTGATGAAAATCCGGACAGTTCCGATGACCCTAATGAGACGGAAGGAGAAATTTTTATTAATTACTCATACCCCCAAAATGTCAATTTTAATATGTATACCTCGCAAATTCGACTTGATATCTGTAATGTAGGAGATTGAATACAAAGATCCTTATGCAAATTCGACTTGATATCTTGTATGCATTTATTAAATATTTCAATTATGTTAGATTAACAATTTAAGTTGCAGATGAGCCAAAGAGTTAGGAGGCTATCTTTTCCTCGGGATCGAGAAGGTCCATCATCCGGTATGCATATTCAAATTTTGTTTTAAGTAAGTTGTATATTTGATATAAATATGCATTATATTTACTATTTTGTTTATTTATCTAGGATCGTCCTCATGACCATCTCGGAGTCCGTTATCTCTACATGGATCCTCACCAATTGAAGGTATAAAATTTGCTTGCTTTATTCAGTTTGAACTTTCTGTGCATGTAATTACCTTAATTGATAAATTTATATGCTCATTTCTTATTTTATAATTTGTTAGATATTGCGGGGACATCTCAAATG